TTTCCTGATCACTTGAAACCAATCGACACGAAATTTTGCCTGAGAAGATAGTTAAGGACAGGGAAGAAGTCTTGTATTTTGCATGACCATTGGATTATACTTAGCTGTAAAATGGACAAAAACAAGTAACAACACGACGGAGGGCGTACAAATTGGGCAAATGCCCCTGGTCGAAAAGCTAAGGGTAATATCTGGGCAATGCTCTATGACATACTTTTAAAAGCGAAATCGTCCAAAATGGATTTGGGGCTTCTAACATATTATAGTGTTGTAGGGTATCATATGGTCGGCCCCGCACGATTAGCCGTTGCTTACTGGTTTATAGCTAAAATAGAAAAACAGCACTTTCTCAATTGTTACTAAGCCTTGTATTTATGCCGTTTTCTTCACTTTAATTATGTTTCCTAAACCGAACGATTGAATTAGATAGTGACCTATTAACTGGACTCGCAAAATGCTTCAGCAAAAGAAGCTTAGCTGGAATGAATGCTCTGGGAAATGAATTAGGTTTTACAACACCACTTGATCCTTTCCTCCAACAATGTGCCCCTCAAATTGTTGGAAGTAGTTATTTGGACGAAGGCGAGGACAGTTATTCGAAGGTAATATTTTTGAAACTTTTTCCGATTGTAGCATAACCTTGCATAGATGAGTTATAGCACATAGATTTGATATAATGCCAATAGTGCTCTCGATGCAGCCTAAAAGTTCCTCGCCCAAATGTTGTCGAAGTTCGTTCAGAAGTAGATATAGGTCTCATATATGCTACCCTCACATTTGATTTTTGTACAATTATCACAGATGACACGATCAAGTTCCGACTACAAAAAAATATATATATGGAGGAGCACATTTAGTCTAGAAGTGCCCCGTTTTGGGAGAAATCGATCCCGATTCAGAGGATAACTTTGATTCTCCTGAATGTGCGTTAACCACCCAAAAAGGGAGACATAGAATGGAGCCAACTGGAACTATTTATTAACACATTCGATTACATTTTATTTGCGATGTACAAAAAAAATTGGTGGGGATGAAATCCGCTGGCGGCCAATCAAACTCCGTCGGACTATACATTCCTCTTCTATAGGCAAATAAATCACGCGACAGCAATGCAAAAATTGTAAATTGTGATTACTGGAGTTGCCTACCTTAGACCTTTTGGGTCAATTTGCTGTTTGTCTGTGTCTCCGTTAATAAATGAACAAAAAGTTCTGCCAGCTGACAAATTGACAGAAAGGCAAAAAAGATTGCTAAAATATTTCGAATGCATTATGACAGCATAAGGTGAGTCAAATGATAGGTATTCAAAGATAAAGAATTCTAATTTTGAATAATTAAAATAAACGCTCATTCGATACGACACACTGTAATACAGCCAATCAAAGTCGTACGAATGCATCGAATTGTCTGTGGCACACAAAGCTCTTCCAAATTCAGGTCACAGCCTAGCAAAAGGAGAAGGCATTAACACACGATTCACAAGGGGAAGCCCTTACGTTTTGCTAGAGCTTTTATTGCGCCATGCCAGCCCTCTGTAAGTTATCAACGCGAAGGATTTCATGTCCCAATAGTGTCGAAACTGGCCAGGGCAAAAATGCTAAGGAAACCGGATATAGGCTAAAGTGTGGCTAAAATGAACTGTCGTCCTGTGAATGATAGAAATACTTCCGTAATGGAATTTCTGCATTTCCGGGCTAGTTGTTATTCTGCATAAGCGGAACTTTGGAAATTAAGCTTATCGTTCACGAGCTCCCCACAATGCCAAAGCCTTCAATCGGAACTGTTTATCTTCGACTGTGTTATTCGCCACCATTTGTTGCTCGAGTGGCATATTTTTGCATTTTCTACAGCTAATCATTTTCTGTGTCCAAATTTTGTGGCGGCGCTTGAGACCTTGGCTACATTGTGGGGTAGGGTGGCGTAGGTGCTCGTTGGCAGCTATCCCGTTTGTCTGTCGTGCAGCAAACTACGATACGGTTTACACCAACACGTAATAGGTTTACAGGCCAGTTAAGTCGTCATCCGCGGCCCTTCCTACACCCGCCTCGGAAGCGGATTTCCCCACAGGCATTCGGTGGCATTGGCCGCTATTATATGAAAATTTTCACAAGTTTGTTTCGTTGTTCATCTTTTCCTATTATTTATTTCATTCTTGCTAATTTCTTCTTCACTTCTTAATATGTTCGCGAATACACCTTCCGCAACAATAACAACGTCAACAACATACTTAGCTACAAAGAAACAGACAGACAGCAAAATGTGTGCGGGGCCATGATGTCCATGCCAAAAGTGAAAAGGAAAATAAAAATATATATCTGTATTGTCATGCCGCAGTCTAGACAAGAACAATGCTAAGCAAACAGCGACTAAATAGTCGCTGCTATGACGGTTCGCAGCAAATCTGCTGCGTAAGCTTATGAGGGTCTCTACAATGTGTCCCATAGCTGATTTGGTCAGCAGCTACCACTGGCCCAGTGGAATGCCTATTATTTCGGGGTGTTGTTGATGGTCAGTTTGTTACGTTTCGATGTTGTGAAAATTTGCTATGCTGCCGTGTGTCGAACAGTCGATTGGTCGGTCGGTGGGTCTACCCATGTGCTTTTTTTTGCTTTTCTTTTTTATTAGTTTTATTTTCTTTTTGCTTCTTTGTTAATGGCAAGAGTTGCAAAAATACTTAACTGAAATACAAATCGATAATATCGATTCGTTTACCTTTCGCTGCCGTGGTGTGCATTGAAATACAAAGTCCATGACGTCCGTGTTGGCAAGGCGACAGTGCCCGACACAGGACAAACAGGAGCCCCCCAAGTTCGACAACGACACACACATTCCTACTTTCGAAGTCGTCATTATTTTCCTCAGATCGTCTTGGGCGATCGGAGATTTTGTGTAAATCTGGACGATGTGGCAACTTTGGACACAACTAAAATTTACCGATTTCAATTGCACTTTCCCGTCAACAATGAAGAGATATTTATTCGAGCGAATGAAAGTGACCCTCATCGCTGCGCTCAGTAAATAAATATTGATTAGTTTCTTTCTTCGGTCGTCCTGAGCAAATATTTGAAATTGCCCAGCCCACGCAAACTGAATGCCGAGATTGTGCTCGGCAACAAATAATCAACTATAATCTGCAAATTGGCTGCTTCTATTTATAAAAACAACGCGAATTGTAAAGAAAGCAGCAATTCAAAAAATTCCGCATATTAATTCCGAACGACTGTGGCGGCAAAGAGAACTGGCGAGAGGTGGACACGTGATGTCTGGCCGCTTTAACTTGACCTAATTTGCGTTGCAATTTAAAATCAAATGAATGCGCCCAGGAGTTGCCTTGTCGGTAGACAACTTTTCACGGCAACATTTCTTTCAACCGGGCGACTTGTTGCAGCGGTGAGTGTTGCTAACGCTATGGTAAAATAAAGGCGAATTATGATACCTTTTTCCGCATTACCTCCTCGTAAGCCATTTTTGCGACAGCATCCACTGATGTTTGGGCTCATCGCTGAACGAAAAATATTAAAATTATTTTTTGGAACATTTTCGCCAAAACCAGTGGGGTGGGGAAGTAGGGGTGGTTTCACAATAGAAGATATTGCAGCTATCAAAAAAGCGGACGTTTGTTGGAACATTTCTCGATGGGAAATGAATGAAATTACGGAATGCAAATCCATTCGAATATCTCGTTTTGAATTCGACCATTTATTGCATTCTAATTTCAAGTGACACAGATTATAACACCCACTCATTCACTAATTCAGTCTGGATGTTACTGCGCTTAAACGAACCCGGATTGTTGACCCTAAATGTGTCTGTTTCTGTCAGGGAATACGAAATGTGTGTTTCAATTTGTTATACCCTACAACACTATGTGTTGGGGGTATTAAAAGTTTGATTGGGCCAAAAATTACGTAACACCTCGAAATATTGTTACAACTATATATGGATCTTCCTAACTCCCCGAGCTGAGTCGATCTAGCTATGTATGTCCGTCCGTCAGTTTATGTTAATTTGTAATCAATTTACAGGTCGCAATTATGGCTCAATCCTCACGAGGAGCTCAATGGAGGTCTATTGTTTTTGGAGATTATCGAAGAATATTTAAGTGTTGAAATGGACCAAAATCAGAAAAAATTCTGATTTTGCAGTTGATGTACAGGTCGCAATTATAAACCAATCGACGCGGAACAATAACTTGTATGTAGAACCTGTTTAACCCTGGCTAAATTACAAATTAACGAAAATGTCACTTCTGACCGTTACATTGATGTTCATATCCAAGATATCGCATATATAGCAAAATATATACAATCTCATATATCAGTAAACGGGATATTGGTTAGACTGCTTAAAACTCAACAACGGCTGGACGGATTTTGACAATTCTTACAAATTCGGAATGGTTTTTTGCCAGAAAAGGATAAAATCTAAGAAAATCGCGTTAAAATATAAAAATTTCAGAGTCATAAAATCGATTCATAATTTTACACAAGGCTCATTCAAGCAGTGATGATTAGAATGGAAATGTGGTGGAGAACTCAATATAGGATTGAGTATTGGAAAATCCGTAAAAAGTAAAATCATTCGCGATTACGTCATTAATGCTACTCCTGAATCGGTGAATATTTCCATGACAGGTGTAGTACGGTACGACGAGAATCGAATCGCTTTCCATTACTCGATATGACAACGTCTGACATTTCTTCCATGGCCAGTCCATTTGTAACTCCTCCTGAGCACTTTTTTACCTACCTTTCCACTCTCCACCCTCTCTATTCTCCTTCTATTCCACATGCAAACGACTCGTTATAGACTTCGTCGCCGCCAACACCACCATCACCACCACCAACAGCAGTGCCATGCTGTCTGTCACTTCGAATGCACTGTACCCCGTTATTGGAGAAAGGAATGAAAAATGAATAGAAAATATTCAACTAATAATTCGCTTGCGGTGCTTTCTAGTAAGCGTCTTTTAATAATACCCAGTGGCCGGTGTGGGACCATAACCACAATAAGTGCCATTATTATTGGAAGCGAACGAAAATGGCAAGAACAGAATTGTGGCGAAAGGCATGTCTTCTTCTTCGGGTTTCGCAGTGAAAGTCCCCTTCTACGAGCGTGCGGTACGTCAACGCTTCATAAACGGACACAAATTCGATTTGTTGCGTGTATTTCACTACTAAAATATATACATATAGAAAAGAGTATCCTTCACACATACAACAACGCTGGCACTCGCAGGCACCCTTTCGTGCACGCCGACCCGCCGAGTTAATTTGCATGGTGATTTTGCTCCATATTCTTGCATATGTATGTGGATGTGTGTGTGTATGTGTGCGCGCGACTTGTGTGTTGTTGGCATGAGCAATAAATAATAATTATTACAGAAAGAAAAACAGAGTCAAGAACATTGGGTCTCCGAAGTCCAGCGCAAACCCAACTGGAAGGTGGAGTGCCAGCCACACGTCCACAGCCAATTTCTAGTTAAACGCTACAAAAGCAACAATTGTAGCAAGTGGACGACAAACAAATATAAGAACAACCCGCCATTACAACCCAGCAAGGTAATTGCGCACACCCCATCCGGAAGGAGGAAGGAAGTTGATGCAATTGAAACCCCAACCAGTGGCAGTTGAGCGACACAGCTATCGGTCAGCGTTTCCATCGAAGGTGAGTGAGTATCTAACCTCATCTTGTCCACTAGGAAATCATTGTAACGCTAGGTCACACTCAGGTCATGTCTGAAATCCCTTAGCTGAGAAAGAAAAACTGGTTCTTCTCTGTGTCCTTAGCTTGCAATTCTTCATAATTTCCATAGGAACGACGAAATGGCAAATACGTCTAACGACGGACAAGGGTTAATATCTAACGAACCACAGCTCCTCGTCCCGTCTTCCCTTAATGGCTCACGTTCATTCCGCAAAGGATTGTTTGTACAAGCATTGTGCAAAACAGGCGGAAAGGCAGGGAGCTTTTCGGTGACAAGAGCTGGGCAGCATTTAATGACGCTGTCGTCACTCTCGTCTTTATTGGTGTTGGCTTGAATGACGACATGCTCGTAACAACTGGCAAACATCCGTAGGCTGACAGTGCCAGTGACTGACACCAATGCCATTTCAAATACTTGTGTCACATTCACCGCCAGGGCTCCGTCCTCGTCTGTCAAATATTGGAGCTAATTAATGACTGTATGCTGTATTCCTTTGGGGCACGTCCATGTAGGAATAATACAATGGCGAACAAAGCCAGTTGCTCTTTTCAATGGTGACTGGAGAGAGTCTTTGTGGGAAATTCGATGGCAAAACTAACTGTCCAATACACAGGGAAAATCTGCAAACGAATGGAGTTGTTTAGTCCAGACAGGGTAGTGGCAAAATTAATTCATGGGTAAATGTAGAACATGGGTCCCCAGAGCTCAACTTTAGAATGGACTGAAAACACGGTGCGACGGCCGAAGTCGCTTCTGTCGACAGATATGTCTTCACACCCAGCCTGCGACTCCGGAAAAATGTATTTCTTTGTGATTTTCCCGTAGTTTCCATAGTATTATATTTTATAGGCCGGCTGAAGCCACGGTACGAAGGCCGAAGTCGCTTTTGTCGACATATATGTTTCCAAACCCAGCCAGCGACTTCGGAAAAAAGGATTTCTTTCCTTTTCGTAAATGGTTCTACTAACAACCGTCGTGGTCAAAACAAATATAACCATACGAAGGTTCACATGGTTAACATCTTATCGAAAGGCTGGCTTTTAATTCACCAAGTATGTGGATCTTCTCATTTTCATTTACATATTTTTGATGGAGATACCACGAAGAGTATATCCCTTTCCATGTTTGCACATTTTCTATAAAATTTAATGCAAATATTACGATGTGCAAAATTCTGATTAAAGCGGCTCTTATAGATGACAATCTTTCAAAATGTTTACCGGTTGCGGGAGGATACAACATGAAGTGGGTCATTTCTCTTTTCAGGTCAGTTGATCCTTGAAGGGGGAACACCAAAACCTGACCTTGATCTGATACTAATGTTACGATATGCTAAGTTGCAACCAAACTGAATTACTATATCACATTTCAAAATGTTTCGAAGAGATTTATCAACCTGAATGGTCGCAGTCAGACAGATAGGCGAACAATACCCAGATCAATCCCAAATGTTGTGAAACGGATTTCGAGCAAAATTAGGTGGCGCAGATCATGGTTGAATCAAATGAAATATGTTTATTCTCTGCTTATTAAAGACTAATGATATAAAAAATCCACATTCCCAGCCACAAAGGGGGAGGTGACATTTCCCCCATCCGCATAACTCCATCGATAGATTATTTCCACACAACTGATTTGGTGTTTTCTGTGGTCGGCAATACCTCACCGTATTTCACAAATTCTCTCCAATGCTAACGCCAATAACTAAATTGGTTCCATATCGAAATATGCCATAAACATTGTTATTTTTTCCGGTCGAATTTCAGGCCACAACTAACCGTTCAGGAGAAAAACAACATTTTTATTCTCTGTGTATGTAAAGACCTTATCTCCGACTGTATAAGTGTGTGTTTGGGGGGAATATGTGAGTGTGCTGATACACCTACTTAATAAATATGTCCAGTGACTGACATAAGAAGCCAGTACTAGAAGGCTCACCACCTGTCAGCATTTAGACGCATTAATCCTACGAGCATTTGCTTTAATGAAGTCCCAGAGCAACGTTTGACGTTTTTGTTGTTTCCCGTAAATGTTTTGTTAGCCGACCATAGTAACCCACCGACCAACTGATATGGATCGTAATTGCCGAAATTGGGAATCATGTGCTAACGATAAGCACTGTTCGGTTTCACAGGTATTCAACAACGGGTTGCCAAAGTCCAATACATGAGAATTGTTTCCGCACAAATTCGCGTCCAGCTTCCAAGGTCTTGTCCAGTGTTGTGGCATTAGCCCCCTTAGACGCAACACTTTTACTTCGGCAGTGTTAAATTTAATTTGCACTTGGCCGCAGTGTAACAGTTACTATCACCGCCTAGCCACCTCCCCCCGTTAATCATCGCTGGTCTATTTTTACAATCGTACATATGTGTGTACGTATGTTTGTACGGCGAAAACAAAACAATAGCAAATAGTTTCTAACACCATGGAAAGTTTATGGCACTGCAATGTTAGTTTGTCGATCTGTCGGGGGGTCGGCGGCACTTGGTGGGGTTAGCAGTAAAATGCGCGACTGCGATAGCGTCGCTCGCAGTGCCACGGTGCCATTTAATACTTCCACTTAGTGTATTAATTAAACAATCTTATCGAGATATTTATGACGAATACACAATTGCGGTGGTTTCATCAGTCAACGACAACAACAACAACAACAGCTGCAGCAGCAGCAAAAACAACCACACGCAAGGGGACACCACTAACTACTATAATTTATTAAATTATAAGTTTGGAATGGAAAACGTGGATATTTGCATTCACATCGAACTGCCCAGGTGTCTCCACTGGCCATGATTTTTCAAGATTTTATGTCGGAGATGCCACAGGAGACGAACGCATTGAATACCCGGAAAATTTACACAGAGGTTCCACTATCCACCAGTAGCGTCAAAGTCTCGTTACACACTTTGAATGGAAGTAATCAGGTCTTATTTTTAAATTCCGCTCAGTCAGCGTTACCGCAAAATGAAGTAATTCGTTGAGGTTACCACCGCCGGGCGCACTGTGGTAATGAAGTGGTATATATTCAGGATGTAGCTGAGTTTTTTTTCTCTTCTAAAAAAATCATACAGTTCTGGAAAAGATCCCGGCCAATCTTATTCAGGTTGCTTGTTGGTTTAAGTCTCACAACCGACAAACCTGTATTCCCCAGCGTTAGCCTCAAACCGTGTCGATGGGTTTTGGGATGAGGTCAAGTGGCTCGATCGGAAACATCAGTCTTCCCAATCATTGCTTCTTGGTAACAAATGCGTGGGTTCGAGAAATCCGAAAATAAAAGCAAACTTGGTTGAACTTTAATTTTGCTAATATATGACAAGGACACAGAATGTTGGCTGCCGATTCCCATGTCGTTACTCACGTTAAAGGCGCCATCTTTAGACAAAACATTGATTTAAAAATACAATTTGTAATTTGCCTAAACTATGTCCCAAAATGAAAATCATTTTTATACCCTGTAGCCTAATACGGCAAAAGGTGCCTCATCAAAATAACGGATTTAGACCCTAGGTCTTTTTGGGCCAAACCCGTTTCAGGATGTTTGAAGTCGACCTAGGGGTGTCCGTCCGTCTGGCTGGGAGTCTCCGACTTGATCCAAACTCAATGTATCGTAATATTATTGTCAAATTTAGATCGATTTCGGACCTGGCCAATATCGGTTCACTCCTTCTGGTACTTCCACCACAAATGGTCATCATTTTTACAGATGATAATTGTGCATACCTTGCAAAACTCTATATTTATATCAGGGATATGTCATTTGCGAAAATGGACAATATCGGCCCACTCCAGCATGTACCTCCCCCACAAAGGACCAAAAATTCGCGAAATGCGAAATAAGCATCCGATTCTCCGTAATATTTTTAAAAAACACAAGTTCTGGCGTGAAGCGTATAGATATCGGCCTTCCTATTCTGAAAAAATTAACGATTTTATTCAAACTTGGTATATATAAATTTTTCTCTCAGCGAGCTATATGACGTGAATATTTTACTCATCGGCTCACTTCTTCTCGTACCTCCCCCATAGAAGGTTACATTTTCCATTAGCAATTATTCCCGTAAAATGGGTAATAGATGTCTGACTTTCTGCACACCCCAATATTTGTATCAGTATTAGATGAAGTGAAACACTTCGGTCTACTATATCTGGTACTCCACGCATATTTCCACATTTTCCAAAAATGATCACGTATTTCATATAAAGTGATGGAAGTAGTCAATATGGTCCACTCCTTCGGTATCTTTCTCAAAACGTCAAAATATATTTAAATTAAGTGACATAGGCTAATGGTACACATCTCTCGGCAAACCCGACTTGTTTTATTATACATTTAGTATCTGAAAGAAACTACAAAATGAAAATTCGGCAACGGGTTCTCTTTCTATAGGCATATCATAATGGACCCCCTATGTGCTTTTATCAATTTTGAATTTAAGATAAATTTTCTAGTCTTTTCCTCGGTCTCAGCTAAGTTCATTGCCTTTGCGTTCTCATTTTCATGATTTTTATCTCTGTCCTGCATTAACCACTGTGCTTCATTACTCCGGCAAAACGTGATCGTTAAACAAGCCACAATCATGTATATGCAAATCTCGACTCGTTTCGATCGTTGCTCAGTCAGTGGTGGCGGGCCGGAATTGGCAAATGCAAAATTAAAGCAAAACTGCAAAAACGCCGAAACGCAGAAATTAGCTCGATCATTAACCCCTTTCGATATTGAATCGACATATTTCGGCTACAGTGATCGTCGTTGTGAAACGCAATCAAACAGTTGACGTTAATCTAAACGCGTGTGTTAGCTAGCTGTCCTCGGTTGGCGGTGGCTCTCGTTCCGAGTGTTCCGTTTGTGTATCGTAAAAATTTCAACTTAGATATAATCCAAACATAATAAAAACATAGCGCGTATGTGTGACTGTGTGAGCGCTCGTCCACCCTGACGTACACACGCCGTACGTCACAGGCA